GATATATATAGATATATATATGGATATAATAACTATATTTATAATTCATAATATGTATAATTATAGTTCTTATATAGATATAATTTATATAATTTATAATATACATATAATTATTATTTATAATATGGTATTATTATTTATTGAATTAATGATATAATAATTATAGTTATTATATCCATATATATATCTATATATATCTATATATATATGTATATAAAATATAGATTTATAATTCATAATATGTATAATTATAGTTCTTATATAGATATAATTTATATAATTTATAATATACATATAATTATTATTTATAATATGGTATTATTATTTATTGAATTAATGATATAATAATTATAGTTATTATATCCATATATATATCTATATATATCTATATATATCTATATATATATGTATATAAAATATAGATTTATAATTCATAATATGTATAATTATAGTTCTTATATAGATATAATTTATATAATTTATAATATACATATAATTATTATTTATAATATGGTATTATTATTTATTGAATTAATGATATAATAATTATAGTTATTATATCCATATATATATCTATATATATCTATATATATCTATATATATATGTATATAAAATATAGATTTATAATTCATAATATGTATAATTATAGTTCTTATATAGATATAATTTATATAATTTATAATATACATATAATTATTATTTATAATATTGTATTATTATTTATTTAATTAATGATATAATAATTATAGTTATTATATCCATATATATATCTATATATATCTATATATATCTATATATATATGTATATAAAATATAGATTTATAATTCATAATATGTATAATTATAGTTCTTATATAGATATAATTTATATAATTTATAATATACATATAATTATTATTTATAATATGGGATTATTATTTATTGAATTAATGATATAATAATTATAGTTATTATATCCATATATATATCTATATATATCATATATATCTATATCTATATATATATGTATATAAAATATAGATTTATAATTCATAATATGTATAATTATAGTTCTTATATAGATATAATTTATATAATTTATAATATACATATAATTATTATTTATAATATGGTATTATTATTTATTGAATTAATGATATAATAATTATAGTTATTATATCCATATATATATCTATATATATCTATATATATCTATATCTATATATATATGTATATAAAATATAGATTTATAATTCATAATATGTATAATTATAGTTCTTATATAGATATAATTTATATAATTTATAATATACATATAATTATTATTTATAATATGGTATTATTATTTATTGAATTAATGATATAATAATTATAGTTATTATATCCATATATATATCTATATATATCTATATATATCTATATATATCTATATATATATGTATATAAAATATAGATTTATAATTCATAATATGTATAATTATAGTTCTTATATAGATATAATTTATATAATTTATAATATACATATAATTATTATTTATAATATGGTATTATTATTTATTGAATTAATGATATAATAATTATAGTTATTATATCCATATATATATCTATATATATCTATATATATATGTATATAAAATATAGATTTATAATTCATAATATGTATAATTATAGTTCTTATATAGATATAATTTATATAATTTATAATATACATATAATTATTATTTATAATATGGTATTATTATTTATTGAATTAATGATATAATAATTATAGTTATTATATCCATATATATATCTATATATATCTATATATATCTATATATATATGTATATAAAATATAGATTTATAATTCATAATATGTATAATTATATATATAATTATATAATTATATATATGAATAAAATAATTACCTAATAATACCAGTAATTATTATTATTATTATTATTATTATTATTATTATTATTATTGATTATTAATTATCATCTCACCCTGAGCTGGGTGTCTACTGTTATTCTTATTATTAAATATCAATTTTCGATTATCAATTATTGATCATCGCCTCACCCTGAGCTGGGCCTCGGCTCCCGGCGTCTCCTGTTATTATTAATTATCGATTATCGATTATTGATCATCCCCTCACCCTGAGCTGGGCCTGCTTCTCGGCGTCTCCTGTTATTATTATTATTATTATTATTGAGTATTAATTATCGATTATTGATCATCCCCTCACCCTGAGCTGGGCCTTGGCGTCTCCTGGTATTCTTATTATCAATTATCAATTATCAATTATCAATTATCAATTATTGATCATCACCCTGAGCTGGGCCTCGGCTCCCGGCGTCTCCTGTTATTCTTATTATTAATTATCAATTATCGATTATTGATCATCCCCTCACCCTGAGCTGGGCCTCGGCGTCTCCTGTTATTCTTATTATTAATTATCGCTTATCAATTATTGATCATCCCCTCACCCTGAGCTGGGCCTCGCTTCCCGGCCTCTCCTGTTATTATTAATTATCGAT